CGAAGCTGACTCGACTTGGAGCGAAGGCGACTCGACCTGGAGCGAAGGCGACTCGACTTGGAGCGAAGGCGACTCGACCTGGAGCGAAGGCGACTCGACTTGGAGCGAAGGTGACTCGACTTGGAGTGAAGGTGACTCGACTTGGAGCGAAGGCGACTCGACCTGCAGCGAAGGCGACTCGACTTGGAGCGAAGGTGACTCGACTTGGAGTGAAGCTGACTCGACTTGGAGCGAAGGCGACTCGACCTGGAGCGAAGGTGACTCGACTTGGAGCGAAGGCGACTCGACCTGGAGCGAAGGCGACTCGACTTGGAGCGAAGGTGACTCGACTTGGAGTGAAGGTGACTCGACAGGGAGCGAAGGCGACTCGACTTGGAGCGAAGGCGACTCGACCTGGAGCGAAGGCGACTCGACCTGGAGCGAAGGCGACTCGACCTGGAGCGAAGGTGACTCGACTTGGAGTGAAGGTGACTCGACTTGGAGCGAAGGCGACTCGACTTGGAGTGAAGGTGACTCGACTTGGAGCGAAGGCGACTTGACCTGGAGTGAAGGTGACTCGACCTGGAGCGAAGGTGACTCGACCTGGAGTGAAGGTGACTCGACCTGGAGCGAAGGTGACTCGACTTGGAGTGAAGGTGACTCGACTTGGAGCGACGGTGACTCGACTTGGAGTGAAGGCGACTCGACCTGGAGCGAAGGTGACTCGACTTGGAGTGAAGGTGACTCGACTTGGAGTGAAGGCGACTCGACTTGGAGTGAAGGCGACTCGACTTGGAGTGAAGGTGACTCGACTCAGGCTGCAGACGGAAACTGCGACGCGACAAAGCAATTGGCGCCATCTTTGTCACGAGGTGTCGTTGATTGTCACGAGGTATCGCAGCTGTAACCTGAGTATTAAGATAAAACAACAACATTTGCAACAACAACTACACAATTGACATTGGAACCAGTCTCGCTCGAACAAAGGAAACGATAGCCCTCGGTATAGCTTCAACCGACTGTTGGGGCAAGTGCTGTTCGCAAAGCCAGATCGCCAAACGAGGGGGTCGGTGGCCAGCACCACGCCCGGCCGCCTTTGTCTCCCGAGTGGCGATGTTTAACGCATCCCACCAGGTTAGTAATTTGAGGCTGAGTCGACCGAGCGGAAGCCCAGGACGGTTCATATTTTCGCGCTAACCGTTACACGACCGCTCCCCCTACCTTAGCAGGAACAATCTGGGGCGTTCGTCCGGGAATAATAATGATAAACCTGTTCATGGGATTATATAGATATAGGGCGCACAATATTTTAGGGTTTTTATGCATCGGGACACCGAACGTCTTTCGCAACGTTCGTAACCAACGGAGCTAATCGCAGGTGCGAGGGAACGACCACGAGCTCAACACAAAAATCACTTCCAAAGAAATACGTTTTCAATTTAGATTAAAACGTGCAGAGCTCCAAGCGACTTCCTAACATCGGAACGGAAGATCGTCCTCGAGTGGTAGTTCCTTACGACAATAATTCCTAATCCAAGCGCTGCTTATTACAGAAACGCAATGAAAACAAGACGTTGCATTATACCGCGATTAGAAAGATAGGGCCGTGTCTCAAGACGCCGTACAGACACAGTGGGCACATCTACCACGTGCATAGCCAAGCGTAGGTAGGCTTGAGCAGGACACGCCATGGCTACAGCAGGGATGATGATGATGGTAATGATGCCAGATGATCAATAATCAATTACAAAGAGGCAGCAACGGAACGGGAAAGCGTCCGAGAGAACGCACGCCTGGAGAGACGGAGCGTGGATTGTTAACATCGCAGGATCGTGAGAGATAGCGGCAAGTTTTTGCCAAAAACCGGGGGTGCGGGGTCTGGGACAAATCTCGCCGCGTGTATTACATCTGACACCACCCGTGACGTCAGAGCGCGGGGCCCCCAAAGCGCGGGGCCTGGGGCGGTTGCCCTGAATCCACCACTGAGCTCGCTCACCAACCTCCACATTCAGAAAAATGAGAGACGCTAAATCTCGAAGACGCTTTGAGTTCCAGATTAATTTGTTTCTCAATGGACGGATCGCCGTGCCGTCGTTTGTCCGACGTTCCGGCTAGGCCTGCCTTTCGAGTTTACCATGTGGCCATACGTGCTCTCACACGAAAACACCACCACACCCACTAATACCTCTCTCCCTATGGGCTACTTGCCAGGTGCCTACTACTACAAGCTAGCAGCGAAACGAAAAAAACATTCAGCGAGCAATTTAGCCCTGGGTAATAATAATAACAACACAACACAGTGACAGAGTCATTTGTACGTCCGGGAAAGCCTCAACTGAGTCTCGTATTTTTTTTCACGACGGTCTTACCGAGTCTCCCCCGTCGCAGAGAATCATTGCTGTGTGTCCTGTATTGACCACTACGGTGTGTGTGTGTCCTGTATTGACCACTACGGTGTGTGTGTACTGTATTGACCACTATGGTGTGTGTATGTGTGTGTACTGTATTGACCACTAAGGTGTGTGTGTGTACTGTATTGACCACTACGGTGTGTGTGTGTCCTGTATTGACCACTACGGTGTGTGTATGTGTGTGTACTGTATTGACCACTAAGGTGTGTGTGTGTACTGTATTGATCACTACGGTGTGTGTGTGTGTCCTGTATTGACCACTACGGTGTGTGTGTGTGTCCTGTATTGACCACTGCGGTGTGTGTGTGTACTGTATTGACCACTGCGGTGTGTGTACTGTATTGACCACTGCGTTGTGTGTACTGTATTGCTAATTGACGACTGTATTCTATCGGCACACAATGGCCCCACTCTTGCGAATGAAGCCACGGGATCTTTAAATTGTTTCCACTGAAGCACATGACGCGCGTAGAAATGCTTACGGCCAATACAGGACACACACACACACACCGTAGTGGTCAATACAGGACACACACACACACCGTAGTGGTCAACACAGGACACACACACACCGTAGTGGTCAACACAGGACACACACACACACACCGTAGTGGTCAATACAGGACACACACACACACACACCGTAGTGGTCAATACAGGACACACACACACCGTAGTGGTCAATAAAGGACACACACACACACCGTAGTGGTCAATACAGGACACACACACACACCGTAGTGATCAATACAGTACACACACACCTTAGTGGTCAATACAGTACACACACATACACCGTAGTGGTCAATACAGGACACACACACACACCGTAGTGGTCAATACAGGACACACACTCACACCGTAGTGGTCAATACAGGACACACACTCACACCGTAGTGGTCAATACAGGACACACACACACACCGTAGTGGTCAATACAGGACACACACACACACCGTAGTGGTCAATACAGGACACACACTCACACCGTAGTGGTCAATACAGGACACACACTCACACCGTAGTGGTCAATACAGGACACACACACACACCGTAGTGGTCAATAGAGTACACACACACCACAGTGGTCACCACAGGACACACACCGTAGTGGTCAATACAGTACACACACCGTAGTGGTCAATACAGTACACACACCGTAGTGGTCAATACAGTACACACACACCGTAGTGGTCAATACAGTACACGCACCGTAGTGGTCAATACAGGACACACACCGTAGTGGTCAATACAGGAGACACACACACCGTAGTGGTCAACAACAGGACACAGACCCCGCAGTCGTATTGAGCGGGGCGGCCGTTGGAATTCGAACCGTGACCCTGTGTAACAAAGCGGACGTGTCATCCGCCAGAGATGAAAGATGTTTGCCGTGGGCATCACCGATGGTTACATCACAACAGTGAACCGCGCTCCAAATGGGATAGCCCGTTCCCGCGGGTCGTTGTGGGGATGGATCGGGGGGCCTAGCGGGTGGTGGTGGTGGTGGTGGTTGGGGGGGGGGCTAGACAAGGCGATGGGGAAGGGGAGGGGGTGAACAGCTGTCACAGTCCGTACACAGCAGGTCCGCAGGGAGACCCGCTACACCATATGCCGCGTTGTGTAACGCAAGGCTGGGCGGATGGATCTGGGTGATCATCGATTGATCTGGGAGTTTGTTTCGCAAAAACAAGAGCCATTAACGAGGTATTCTCTTGTTCTCGCTCCGTGACACACGATGATGAATTACAGAGCTCTAATGTATAATATAGTTGACGTGCGCGCGTGTGTGGTATAGAACTCTCTGCGGCGGCGAGGAGGAGGAGGCACGTGGTTGATGTCGAGTTCGGGAAGACTCTTGAGAGATGCGTTAAAATTAAACGAAATACAAAGCCCTTTTCTCAGCCCACCGATCCTGATCGCTCATGTATACAGAGTGCGTCCGTGTACACACACGGGCGGAGGGAGAGGAGTGCGCGTGGTGTATACGCCGCACGACACTACAGCCCTTTATCAATCCGCCAATTGATGAATGTATCTCCCCGTGCGGTGTTGGTCGAGGGTGGTGGTGCTTTGTGTGACCATACTTCTCCACGCGGGCACGAACTGTACTCGCTAAGCGCGCGTCTGTCGAGTACATCTGGAATCCACTTGGATTCTCTCCACACTGTGGTAGTCGTCTTTCGGTAATGATACATTGACGCGTATAAGCGCTTTGCGATCTATTGGTGAAAGGCGCTGTATAGAAACGTAAATGTTTGTTTTATTTTTTAGATGATTGCCGGATGTGTTGAGTTTGTCATTTTTATTTTCTTGTGCGCCACTGGCTAACGTAGTCGTAGCAACAACAACAACAACAGCAGCAGCAGGGTGTCACGCATCGTACGAGATACCAGCGAAGTGAAAACATCATCATCGTCATCGCACGTTACATCGACGCGACCTTTTTTCTGCCAGTATGAAAATAATGCCTCGCAAAATGTCTCTGTCTGTCGTGTGGACGTCTGAACGCCTGTTTCATTGTCAGAAAGGGTAAACCCCCATCGACGTATTTGTCATCATCATGGCAACGTCCTCTCTCTCTCTATCTCTCCCCGCATGCACACGCAGGTGGTGTCACTGGGCGGCGTCCCGGACGGAACAGTGGTCACGGTGCTTGCCGGCAACGATGAGAACTGCGCGGCCGAGCTGCGCAACGCCACGGCCGTGATGAAGCAGCAGGTGGCTCGCTTCAACGACCTGCGCTTCGTGGGCCGCAGTGGTAGAGGTCAGCGCTTCACCTTTCGCCGTGCGCGTCCATCCGTGCCGGTGTCGACATCGGCTCCGAGCCGGGTGACTCGTCGTGTACCCCGCTCCCTCGTGTGTGTGTGACATCGGATGATGCTCCGGGCAGCTCACGTCCTCTCTGTCTCTCTCTCTCTCTCTCCGTATCTCCCCTCGCATCACCCTGTCACCCGCGACATCTTCACCTGCTCATTCCTTCTCCTCTCCTTCCTGCCCGGCGCTCCGTCTTATCTCTCTCTCTCTCCCTCTCTCTCTCGCTGCTCATCTCGAGCCGTGCTCTCATCTCTGTCCCAGCATGCCTTCCTTGTGCCGCTTCACCTTACCATCTCTGCTGCCCCATTTGCAAAACTGACTCCACTCTTCGTGGTGTACCACGGGTACACAGTTGTACGTACTCTACATTTACGGGATTATTACTACAATCGTCGTTATGAAGCATATTTAACAATTAAACGCTAGCAACACGCGGAAGTCTGATTTATATGGCTACGTCGGGTCTTACGACATCGCTTGTTCAAAGAACAATGCGACTTAATCCAAAAGTCAATCGTGAATTACTCATTTTGTATTTTACAAGACGCATAAATAATTGGTATACGGGGGAAAACAAATCTCTGTTCCACACAACAGCAGGGTGCCTGTGTGTGTTGAACTTCTTTCGCACCGTACGTAGCAAACTGCGCCAATCGGAGGTGCGAGTGCATACTGCACGCGCGCGTGTACCCACACACACACGTGGGTGCGCGTGTGTGTGGGTACACGCGCGTCTACACACACACACGTGGGTGCGCGTGTGTGTGTACACGCACGTCTACACACACACGTGGGTGTGCGTGTGTACACACACGTGCGTGTGTGTACACACGTGTGTGTATACGCACGTCTACACACACACACGTGGGTGCGCGTGTGTGTGTGTACACGCGCACCCACGTGTGTGTACGCACACACACACACGTGTGTGTGTGTACACGCACGTCTTCGCACACACACACACGTGTGTGTGTACACAGACACACGTGCGTGTACGCACACACGTGTGTCTCCGGACACACGTACACGCGGACACACCACCACGGCACCTCGCCGGCGTTCCTCGAGCCATACCCCTCGCTTTTGTAAACTCCTGCTCAGCTGCGCGATTCATGGCCACGATCCCTATTGACGATGACAGTATGCAGCATATTCGACAGTCCATTGTTGTTGTTGGTCCCACCGCGTTTGTTCCTGTCGTTCTGTCGCCCCGATAGCGACGCACGTTCACATAACATAGCCACAGCACGTGCAGTCGTCGATTCTCGCAGTCGTCGATTCTCGCACGCGCGACTCGAGGAGCGCAAAACGATCTTCAGGATCGACAACGATAACAATACGCGTCGATTGATTATTCATATCCCCGTACTGTCTTCTCAATCGCAATGAATAGAATGACGATCGATTGTCACATTTCGATAAGGACCCCTTGCACGCCGTGTCGCAGGAACGTGCCAAAAAGCGTGCATCGCAAACGCCGTGTTTGCATGCGAACTCAGGGCTGTCTCTGGTGTGGGCCAATCGGTTTCAAAGACAATGCATCAAATATCATTATTATCGCAGCATGTTGGTTTGCATGTTCACCACAAGTACCCGCGTGTGGTTAATGAGAACTTTATTCCTTGCAAAAGGTTACTTATTTGGTGTGTTTGAACATCTTAACGTCTCCCGTTTTATTGCCGGAAAGGGTAAAACCTCTTCTTATTTTTTTCATACTTTGATATCGGCAGACGGGTCCCATGATGAACTCTTGATTCGTTCACCGCTCAAGTGAAAAGGTGATTGATCCTCCGTTCGCCGACACCCCAGCCATCGGAATCGCCATTTGTGTTTTGATGACGCGGTCGGTTGCGTGAGTCGGCGGGCGAGACATTCCCCTGGGGAGGTTGCGAGCCACAGTGACTCAGCGCTGAGAATTTGCGAGTCAGCGGGCGAGTGGGATGGGGCGAGGGTCGATGGGGGGAGGGGGAGAAGTTTGAGACTGTCTGGGATGGAGGAGTGCTTACAGGGGGAGCGCCCATGTAGTGGTTAGCGCAAAGCGCTCACGGCCACCAACATCAATGACGATCATCTGAAACGGTCCTGGGCCTCCCCTAGGTCGACACGGCCTCAAATGAGTAGCTGGTGCCGTGTGTGAACATCGCCGCTGGGGAGTCAACGGCGGCCCGGCGTGGTGTTGGTCACCCACCACCCACCCGCTCGTGTGCCGTGCGGGTCTTTAGAGGTTTTCGGCAGCAGCACTTGCCCCGACAGTGTTTCAAAGGCCATGCAGGGGACCGTTGTCTTTGTGATTGCTCATGCGGGCAGTTGGCATTGAAGTGTGACTTCCATGTGTCAAGCGACACGGTGATAAAACCCTTTGGTGACGAATGTCGTGGTTTATGCATTTTGTGTGATGTGTACTATATATTATATCCACAGTCAGGCTACATACTCTATATAGTATAGTTAACTACCTCGCCTGGTATACAGGAGGTCATGGGTTCGATCCCGACCCTGACGCCTGCTGTGTATTTGGAGTTTGCGTGTCTCTCTCTGTGGTGGCGTGGATTTTTCTCCGGGTCCTCCGGTTTTTACCTCCACATTTAGTAACACGCATTTAGAGTATTTGGCTGCTATACATTTCCACATGGTAAACCACTTCGTTGGGCTATCATTTGTATCCAGGTCGTTCTTCAAAAGACTTTCATTGCTCAGTGGGCCTTGCCTGGTAAAATAAAATAAAATAGTTTATAGTTTTACAGCTTATCCTGTGTATGGTGGGTTTTGCGGTAACGGAATCCCGGCACGGGACGCAGCCTATTAAGTCGCAAAGTCAAACGTTGTAATTTATCCTGATAAGCGCAATATGTAAGACGAGTATCGCTTGAACTTTTATAGTTTATCAATTGTGCTTACACAGCAGGTCGGTGTGATAGACAATAAAAGATAACCAGTCTCACCAATATGCCTAAACAAAGGTTCTGTAACGCCGTTACTGTGGTATAGACAAAGATGCCCTCTCTCGCCTCCAGCAGGCTGTTGGGGCAAGTGCTGTTAGCGAGCACCTGCCAAGGCCGACACGGCACCACGAACGGCCGCCTTTGTCTTCCCAGTGCTGATGTTTACACACCGCACCAATTAAGGCTGAGCCGACCTAGGGGAGGCCCAGGACGGGTTCAGATATTAGTCAATATTGGCTGTGAGCGGGAATCAAACTCGTACGCACAAGTGCGCGAACCACTCCGCCTTTTAATACAAAATGACACACTATCGGTGTGAAAACGTCAGTCAGGGCTTTAATTTAGCCCGGGGCTGAGCTTCAGAAAACATCGCCTACTTGCTGCACCGCACAAAAACAAACGAATTGTCAATGTGCGGATGAGGAGCATGGACCTGTTCATTGGTTGAGGGGTAGGGACTTGTGGAAAATATTAAAAGAGAGTTTAAACCCTGGTAAAAAAAAAACAACTACGAAAACAATGCGGTTTATTGATGCAGGAAAAAGCCTCGCTTTGTCTGAGGACCCACGTGGACATCACAGTGACCACTTATTGAGTGACCACTTATTCTTCACATTTGGGTGAAATTATATATATTGCAGTACTATCTATGCGTACATTTTAATTCTCAAACACGGAATATGTTTCAGAATAAGTCAAATCGCACCTCCTATTTGAGCACGGCTGGCCTACGTATGGTGCGAAGGAAGTTCAGCGTACATATAGGCCGTGCGGCGTGGATGGCATGTCGTGCTGCGCCTGTGTGGTAAACATGCCGCTACTGTGCGAGGGAGTGGGGGGGGCAATTTGCGCAGTAATTAAACACAAACACAAAACAAGGACGGTCCCTATTGCCCAGCCAGCCGTGATGAATGGAGGTCGTGGCCGGGCACCGTGTTCGTTGCGAGCTAATGGGACGGGGTTCTTAGGACTCGTTGGGCACGTCTCTGAGCCTCTGATGGGGTCAAAGGATTGAACCCGGGACATCGTTAACCCTTTCCCATCCCGAGACACACTGCAAGTTGCAGGGTGGGCGTCCCGTTCACCGCTGAATCTCGGAACGCGCAAGCGGTGCTGCATTAATTGTATTTAGAGAGGCGTAGCGCCTTTGTTTTTAAAGACATTGTTACTCCCCGTAGAAAATCGTTGCGACATGACCGCCGCACTCTGCGACAGCTGGCGGCCAAACTGTGCCACACGCCCTCCCGCATGGCCTTGTGGGAGCCTCAGTACCAAGAAAGCGGTTTCAATTTAGTCTTTATTCAGATTCCGTTCGGATGACGTACACGTCATCGAAACGGAACCGGAAGAAAAACTGACGACTTATACGTACGTTCGGATGACGTACACGTAAATCATTGGAATGGGAAAGGGATTCACGCGACGCACGGAGTGGGGACGGCTGCCGAGTGGAAAGCGGGATGCGAGGGACGAGAGGCAAAGCGCCGCTGTGCGAACACGCACACGAGGTGACTTCTCAACGTCAAGTTTCGTTTTGTCTCACCAGGTGAGACCCCCCGTCCCCCCTCGAAGAGGCCAGGATCGAGTGGCATTTGGCATTTGGCTCAGAGGGTTGACCTGGGTCACCAAAGTGACACAAGCAGGAATATACAAAAACAATAGTAAAAATAACAACAACAACCACAATACAACAATGAAGCAAATTTTAATCATAGCACAGAAGTCAACCAAAAAGCAATTGAGAGCAGAAACAACGACTGTGTTACAGTGCACAAACAATCAATATTAAATGCAATTATTTTGCCGTAACAAAAGTTGGCTTTGACGAATTACTATTACGAATGATTTGGAGTAACTTTTAGCAAGGGGAGAAAAAACATACTTCGGGTGGTTATTACATTAGCGTGTAAACATTGATGACAGGCGTTAAGAAGTTAAAACACCAAATATATACATATTGCAAGTCAGACTTGATGCCTTGCCGGGTATATATACACACACACGGCTTGCGGTGCGCTACACCGGGGAAAGCGAGTGATTTATCGCAACGTTTGTATGTGTGTGTGTCAGTGTTATATAAATAGCACGCGTGTACACAACTCACGGTTATCTGGGCCGTTGTGGTATTTTATAACATCGGCGGCCCCGAGCCACCGAAGATAATTACCCAGCTCGGCGTGGCGTGAGTGACCTGTGGGCTGAGCTTTACTCGCAGCCGATTGTCGCGGTTATCGCGAGCGAGCTTGAAGATTTCACGCCAAAGCCACACCGTGCAACGTGGCCCCGAGATAGTATTTAGTCTTGGGTGTAACTCGGTCTTTAACAGAATGAACACGAAGGGAAGCCATGGCTATTTATGGCGTCTGTGAGAAATGATAGTCGGGTTATTATTGTAGGTGACGAAAACAACAACGACGATAGTATAATTCGTAGGCGGTTTAACGAACCGTGAGGCCAAGCAAGTGGGTGGAGGAGTGGTTGTGTGGTGGGTAGCACGCGGTGCTGTGAACATCAGCTGGCGAGTGTTATCAGAACTGAGCGATATCTGAAACGGTCTTGGACCCTGTCCACCCCTCCTTCACCCAACCCGGTGGGGAAGTATGGTCAAATGACCGCCCATGACCGACACGGTAGGCCTTCATCAAGCAGTGGACCGACAAAGTGAGATGTAAGTTATATCGTAGACAAATTAATTCACATTCTTGGTTCTTTCGGTAAAGTCACGTAGAAGGGAAATAATAAAATAATTAAAATAAAACAATAAAATTATCACGACGTTTCGATTGCAACACAAGCAATCATCAATCATTACATCGAAAAATAAAAAAATAATTCATATTATCATCATCATAATACATTATACATTTCTTCAGCGGTTTTTTTTGTCTTCACCAAAACCACCCGGGGACTATAGAATACAAAGTTAATCTAATTCCATCACCTGCATGATAAGGGCGAGTATAACAAGGGGGGCTTCGCATCAGCTGGCCCTGGTTCCACACTCGTGGCGTTGCGAGCGCGGTGCAAAACGGCCCACGCAGTGAACCGAACCGGCGCAGCACGTGCACGTCTTGCAACGGATGCGTTGAGAGACGAAGGCGCGCTCACCGTGGGCAGGAGTGGGAGGTTGCGAGCCTGGACTTGACCGAGGGACGGGACGCTGTCGCCATCACCGGGGGGACTGTGCCGGTGGGAGTGGTCAGAGTTTTGGGCCTCCCGTCCCCGCTGAGTCGATGTCGACTGAGGGCTTCCACAGACGGCCTTGGAGGCTGCAACTTCAGATTTGTTTTAAATGGAAACTGCGATGGAGTGATAAGCCATGGCATTCACAGCCAGCTTGCTTGTTAAACCCGTTCGCATGCAAAATTAAACTAGCTGCTTCGGTGATGCCATGCAGTACTTTGTCGCGTTTTCAAAATTAACATTGTTACACGACTTTAAATGACCAGTTTTTACTTAGTAACACACAGTTACATACAAAGGTTCTTGGTGCAAACAGCGCACATAACGTACGTGTGTGTATATATATATTATGTTGTTATTTTGATTGAAATGTGGTAGCGGAAATACCACAAATGTGCACTGGAATCTATTTTTCACAAATCTGCCTTATCTGTAAAACGTCCCCCCCCCACCTCGCCATTAAAACTAAACGCTGGTTCCACGAAGCAATGTGGCATGCGGTTTAACGGACTTGTGCGATTAGCACGGTTGGCTGCGTACGGTGCGAAAGAAGGGAAGCATACACACATAAAGAAGTTCATAGTACAGGGTTTTTTTGGGAGGGTTAGAACGCGTAAATGTGTCGTTAAACCCGCCACCACCCGACACAGCCAACTAGTAAGGTTTGTTACGTAAACAGAAGGTGCTAATTCGTTACTAGTACAGCACGCTGGCAAATCCACACACCGCTGTGCTGTACTAGTCACGAATTGGCATGTTCTGTGTACGTGACAATACTTGCATAATTACATTATTACTTCGCCTGTTTATACAGGAAAGTCCTGCCAGTGTTTTTGCAGGCGGAGAGGGAGGTGACGATCGCAATGTATAATCCCAATCGCGAGTGTATACGCGCGCATGTCGAACTCAATTCACACAATCCATGTAGCCAACCGTGCTAATCGGAGGTGCAGTGGACGGACAACAAACTTAACACAGAGGGAAAAAAAAACAATTGCGGGTATTTTTTCAAGTTGCAACGCCACCGCTCCACACAGCACACACGCACGCCGCCTTTGCTTAAGCACACAGCCACATAAACCACGCACGCACATCGCGGGCGCGCACGGCGTGAACACGATCCTGAGGCGCGATGAAGATTAATGTTGTGATGATTCGAAGAGGTGGCCGGATGGCTCCGGAGTTGAGAGCGTTGAGCCAGCGCTGCTGAGATACTCCTGGGTTTGAACACAGCTTTCAGCCACTGCCTGCGATTAAAACCGAGTTCTCAAGTGTAGTGAGTTGATGGTCTCAGCCCGGTCACCAATGACCACGTTAAATAAAAACACCATGACATTAAATCTGCGGTTGCATTTGATCAGAGTCTCAGAGCAGTGCTTGTGCAGACGTGCGCCCTCTATTGTGTAAATTATGAAAAAATACCACTTCAATGATTGATTTTCTACAACGGAAAAAGTCAATAAAAATTCCATATTACTATGGCAGGGGGCGAGAATATCCATAGGAGAGATCGAGTGAAAATTTGCTTACTGTGCGGGCCATTACTGGACATCTGTGAAAAATAACTTTATAGCTCATAGGATTCCTTCAGTATAAATAAACATTCAGAGTCTGACATTCTCTGACAGACGGCGTTCACAGCTCTATGTGAACTTACGAATGGATTCTTCATCTTATGCCGTAAGGCCAATTAGCACCGATTGAAATAAATTGGGAAGACACGAAAACAAAAATCCCTGCAGTCACGAAAGCTTTAAATCGAAAGGTAAATAGAATTAAAGGAAAGAGGAGTTGTCTCATCGTCGGTGAGGAGAAGCCCATTGGTCCACTGCACCGTTGTGTCAGAGCTGTTGTAAAAATCAATGACAGCGCAGCCGATGCGAGGCATGTCTCATCATTTTTATTCCATATTAACTAGGATATTCGTTTCCAACAATAACGCTCAGCAAACTGGTTGATCATACTTTGACAGTTTAATGTATGAATTCGATATTGCATATGTGTGGGTGTGCGCGCACTGGAAGTGTATTACTTAAGTTTCTGATTAATAATAATAATTTACTTACCCTTTTGTCAATCCACTGCTACTATAGATGAAGGCCCTCTCCGCACGCTGTGTCCGTCATGGGCGTTGATTGACCATACTTCACCACGCTGGTCAGTGCGGATTGTGAACGGGTGTGCCCAGGTTTTAGCTTTCACTCGCACACCGACGATGCTACCTGTAGCCGGGAATCAAACTCATGCTGCTGGGCTTGTAACTTAGTGTGCTCACCATTGCGCCACTGGCGGTCGGTGTGATCAAAACCGTGTAAAAATGCGTCAAATCCTGTATTTCATAAACGAAACAGTCAAATATGGATTACTAAACTATTTTTTATTTCACCAGGTAAGGCCCACCGAGCTATTTTTCAGAAGCGACCTGGCCATCACAAATGATAGCTCAACGAAGTGGCTTCTCGTCACGTGGATATTTATAGCAGCAGCCAAATACTCTGAACACGTGACGTTGATTCTAATTGTGGTGGCAAAACCCGAAGGACCCCGAGAAAAATACACACAACCACGGGGAGAACATGCAAGCTCCAAATATACAGCAGGCGTTAGGGTCGGGATCGAACCCACGACCTCCTGTATACCGGGCGTGGGAGTTAACATCTCGACACCGCGGCACCCTAATAACAGTGGCGATTTGTACGTAGAGTTTATAGCTATGAAAGTAACTTCCTCGTGCAGGTTTTGAGCTTTAAAAGTGTATTTTATTGAGTTGACCAAGCTGAGACCTGGGGAGCCACGGATGAGTCTTGCTTGTGAGAGTGACCCCTTGGCGCCAGCCCAGGGGTCGGCAACCGGAATAACAAGAAGAGTCATCGCTTGAGAATTAGTGAGAAAATAAAACCGACTCAATATTTCAAGAGCCGCATTGCCAAGTAGATACGAGATGGTGGTCCTTAGTAAATGACGTTAGGAAGCAGTCAATAAAGATTCCGCATGCGGCTCCGCAAGCCACAGGTTGTCAACGCCTGTGCTAGGAGAACATCTTTACACTGCACGGTCGTGAGAAGGGTGGCAGCAGCTCTGGGGAGGAGGCCTGTTCATCCAGCAGTGGATTGACCATGGCTGCTGGCGATGCTGCTGCTGACAACGGAATGCGAGTGCATTGAGAACGCAAGTCTCTTAGAAGGGGAGACCCGGTGGGGATCTGGGGGCGACACTCTAGACAGCACGCAAAGTCGATGCGGCCAAGTCGACACTCATTCCTCTTTGCCCAGGTTAATGACCGACGTGGATTTGCATCCAGAACGGGTTCCGAGGCTGCGTGTTGTGACGTGCACGTCTCGCGTTGCTGGCAATGAGACGCCTGGCTCACACGGGCACGTTCATCATCATCATATGCATGCAAGTGGAGGAGCGGTGTGGTGTGGTGGTTAGTAAACTGCACTATGAATTCAGAGACATGAGTTTGATTCCCGCTCATGGCCAACATCAGTGCCGTTTAACTGAACTGGTCCTGGGCCTCCCCTTGATCGACCCAAATGAGTACCTGGTGCGGTGTGTGAACATCACCACTGGGGATACAAAGGCGGCCGGGCGTGGTGCTGGCCACCCAGCCCCTCGTGTGCCGTGCCGGCCTTCATAGGTGCTCGATAACAGCACTTGCGCCGACGGTCTGTGTAAACTACACGGGCGATCGTTGTCACCCGTGCGTGCGTGCACCTGTATTCACATGGGCGTGTGTGTGCACGTGCGTTTGCTTGTGTGCCTGTGCAGGGAAAAGCTTCACGCTCACCATCACGGTGTTCACCAGCCCGCCACAGGTGGCCACCTACCACCGTGCCATCAAGGTGACGGTGGACGGACCTCGCGAGCCCCGAAGTGAGTGTCCCGTCTCTCTGCACTCCTCCTCCTCCTCCTCCACAACAAAACACAGAGACACCCTCCCGCCTCTCGGTCCCCCGCCGCTCCCCCACCGCTCTCCACTTAAGCATCAGTGGCTGCCGTGGCGGGTGCCGCTGAAGAGCTGCCGCGAGGCAGGTTGGCACAGCGGGCACGAGGGGGTGGCGTGTGGTGGCGTGTGGTGGTGGCGGCGGTGGTGGCGGTGGTGGCGGTGGTGGCGGAGGGCATCGTGCACACCTGGCCGCTCTCGGTCCCTTGTCGGCCTCCTCCTTGCATTAGTGGGTGAGTTGACCTCGGGGGTAGGGGTCCAGGTTGTATCGTGCACCAATTGCGGCCGGCTTAGCGCTGGGCGTGCGCGTCGCGCCGATTAGGACGTTGCAAAGCACCGCGATGAACTCCGTTCACGCCTGCGGGTGCACGACGAAATGTGGAAGGAAAAAATAAGCGCGAGGGAGAGACAGAACGGCCGCGTGGGGGCATGCGCAGGGCTGGCAACGTCGAGGAGGTAAAGGGTTGAGAATGAGCGATGCAGCGATTGCCGGCGAGAGAAAGGGGACCACGGCGGAATGTTGCTCGGCCCCCCTCGTCGCCAACGAGCGGTACGGAAGGGACTGACGATGGCTGTGGATGGTGCTCAGAGCACACGCGCGACGCACGTGCCTGCCTGGGTGTTTTGTACCATCGGACACTCCACCGCCACTACTCCAAATCGGTGATAGGGCAGTTGTGTAGAGAGTGGAGAGTTTCCCATACCTGGGAAGTGTGCTCATGACCGGCTCCGGTTTGACAGCAGAGGTCTCACTCCGAATCAGTCGAGCAGCATTATCTTTTCATCGGTTGTTTAACGCTGTGTGGAAGCTACTTGGTCTGTCGCTCCGCACGAAGCTTCAGGTCTTCTCGGCCACAGTAATTCTCTCCCTTCTCTACGCTTGCGAAACGTGGACCCCCCTAATGGAACATCTTCGCCGGTTAGAAACATTTAAACTGGCCTGCCTATGATCCATCCTGGGTTTAACCAGGCTGGATTGTGTGAGGAGCTCGCATATTCTTGTAAGATCTGGAAAAGTCCCATCGGTGAGCTCCTCCGGCAGGCAAGGCTGCGTTGGCTGGGTCATGTAGCCCGCATGCCCAGCTACCGCATGCCTAAACAGCTTTTGTTTGGCCGGATCGAGGGGTCTAAACAGGCGTGGCCCGGGCTAGAGAACAGATGGAGTGATGTGGTACAGGAGGATGTGGAGCTGAGTGGACTTGTCGATGACTGGTACCAGCGGTGTCAAGATCGGCCTCTGTGGAGGAGGCTCGTGAAGGACGCTACTGGGCAGTTGGAGGCAGTCACCCTCCAACAACAACGGAGGGGGGAGGAGCGACGCTCACAACAATGAGCGGAGCGCCAGGTGGCTAAAGCACAGCAAATTGGCACAGTAGGGGGCACAGGTGGTGCATCAGCCAGTCATCTCAGTCAGTCGACCCGTGGCACCTGCTGGGTCTGCCCCATAACCTCCTGCCAGTGGGCGTTCGACACTTCACGTGACCTCAAGGTGCACATAGCCTGGCACAAGCGTCGTGGTGACGTCACCGTCACTTAGAGGCGAACGGCGGTTGTTGATGTATGTGTGTGGACTGCATGTGTGTGTGTCTGTGTGTGCGTGTGTGTGTGTACTCGTGTGTGTACTCGTGTGTGTGTGTACTCGTGTGTGTGTGTACTCGTGTGTGTGTGTGTGTGTGGGGAGCGGTCGTGTAGCTGTTAGCGCTACGCTGCGCTAAGAACCCAGCGACCCGAGTTCGATTCCCACTCACGGCCAACACCGGTGACGATTATCTGATCCGGTCCTGGGCCTCTACTCGGTCAATTTGGCCTCAAATGAGTACCTGGTGCGGTGTGTAGTAAACATCTCCACTCGGGAGACAAAGGCGGCCGGCCGTGGTGCTGGCCACCCACCCCCTCGTGTGCCGTGTCGGCCTTCATAGGTGCTCGCTAACAGCACTTGCCCCGACAGTTTGTTAAAGGCTACACGGGTTGATGTTTGTGAGCCGCGTGAGTACGCGCATCCTCAGATGTGTGCTGCTTGCACAAGGAAATCATTGGGACAGTTTTTTTTCTGCAAGTAAAGGAGAGAGACGAAAAGAGACCCCCCCCCCCCCACTCCTCCACCACCCCTCCCGAAAAATCATTAAAGCATCGCATTTACGAAATTTATTGTTCAGGACAAGACATCAAACGCTTTTCAAAGGGGATGCACGCATAGACCCCCCCCCGCTCCTCCCCACCACCACCCCTTAAGAGTCTTCAAAGTCCTGCCTTGAAAACTTGTTAACAAAATGTGTCCTGCGGCCCTACTGGGTGGTGTTAAAGGGGTTTTTGGGTGGCCCCGCTGGGTGGTGTTAAAGGGGTTTTTGGGTGGCCCCGCTGGGTGGTGTTAAAGGGGTTTTGGGTGGCCCCACTGGGAGGTGTTAAAGGGGTTTTGGGTGGCCCCGCTGGGTGGTGTTAAAGGGTTTTTGGGTGGCCCCACTGGGTGATGTTAAAGGGGTTTTTGGGTGGCCCTACTGGGAGGTGTTAAAGGGGTTTTTGGGTGGCCCTACTGGGTGGTGTTTAAGGGGTTTTGGGTGGCCCCACTGGGTGGTGTTAAAGGGGTTTTTGGGTGGCCCCGCTGGGTGATGTTAAAGGGGTTTTTGGGTGGCCCCGCTGGGTGATGTTAAAGGGGTTTTTGGGTGGCCCCGCTGGGTGGTGTTAAAGGGGTTTTGGGTGGCCCCACTGGGTGGTGTTAAAGGGTTTTTGGGTGGCCCCGCTGGGTGGTGTTAAAGGGGTTTTTGGGTGGCCCCGCTGGGTGGTGTTAAAGGGTTTTTGGGTGGCCCCACTGGGTGGTGTTAAAGGGGTTTTGGGTGGCCCCGCTGGGTGGTGTTAAAGGGGTTTTGGGTGGCCCCACTGGGTGGTGTTAAAGGGGTTTTGGGTGGCCCCACTGGGTGGTGTTAAAGGGGTTTTGGGTGGCCCCGCTGGGTGGTGTTAAAGGGGTTTTGGGTGGCCCCGCTGGGAGGTGTTAAAGGGTTTTTGGGTGGCCCCACTGGGTGGTGTTAAAGGGGTTTTGGGTGGCCCCGCTGGGTGGTGTTAAAGGGGTTTTGGGTGGCCCCACTGGGTGGTGTTAAAGGGGTTTTGGGTGGCCCCGCTGGGTGGTGTTAAAGGGGTTTTGGGTGGCCCCGCTGGGTGGTGTTAAAGGGGTTTTTGGGTGGCCCCGCTGGGTGGTGTTAAAGGGGTTTTGGGTGGCAGTGTGGGAGGGGGGACGCTGCGTATTTTTTGGGGGGCATAAAACAAACGCGGAGCGGCGGTGGTGGTGATGGTGGTGATGGTGGTGGTGGTGATGGTCGTGGTGGTGATGGTGGTGGTGGTGATGGTGGTGTTGGTCGTGGTGGTGATGGTGGTGGTGATGATGGTGGTGGTGATGGTGGTGATGATGATGGTGGTGGTGATGGTGGTGGTGATGGTGGTGGTGATGGTCGTGGTGGTGGTGATGGTCGTGGTGGTGATGGTGGTGGTGATGGTGGTGTTGGTCGTGGTGGTGATGGTGGTGGTGGTGATGATGGTGGTGGTGGTGATGGTGGTGATGATGATGGTGGTGGTGATGGTGGTGGTGATGGTGGTGGTGATGGTCGTGGTGGTGATGATGGTGGTGGTGATGGTCGTGGTGGTGATGGTGGTGATGGTGGTCGTGGTGGTGATGGTGGTGATGGTGGTGATGGTGGTGGTGGTCGTGGTGGTGATGGTGGTGGTGCCGTCCGTCCGGTGAGGGGACGGTGGCAAAGCGCTTTTGTCTCCTCGCTACCGCCGCGTGAGTCACGCACTTCCGCGGGTTCTCGCACAATTAGCGCATTCCTCGCTCGCAGACCCAGACGTGAGTCAGCCGCCCCAGCCCATTCACTCGCAAAAAAAATATAATCTTCTCTCCCCCGTTCCGTCCCATCGGTCCCGTCCGCCCACCCACCCACTCGCTCGCTCACTCACTCACTCGCTCGCTCACTCACTCGCCCACCCACCCACTCACTCGCTCGCTCGCTCACTCACTCACTCACCCACTCACTCACTCGCCCACCCACCCACTCACTCACTCGCCCACCCACCCACTCACTCACTCACCCACCCACCCACTCACTCACTCGCCCACCCACCCACTCACTCACTCGCCCACCCACCCACCCACTCACTCACTCACCCACCCACTCACTCATTCACTCACCCACCCACCCACTCACCCACTCACTCACTCACCCACTCACTCACTCACTCGCCCACTCACTCGCTTGCCCACCCACTCACTCACTCGCCCACCCACCCACTCACCCACTCACTCACTCACTCACCCACTCACTCACTCACTCGCCCACCCACCCACTCACTCACTCGCCTACCCACCCACTCACTCACTCGCTCACCCACCCACTCACTCACTCGCCCACCCACTCACTCACTCACTCGCCCCCATCACCACCGTCAACCCACCCACCGCCCGCCTCATTTTACGCCCGTCGTAAAGCCGTCGTTCCATAACAACAAAACTGACTTATTATTGTACGGGAATGGTTGTAAGATAGAGGAGAAGGAAGGGCGCGTGCGAGAGAAGGTGGAACCTGGACGGTACATCCGCCTAAGGCGACGTCTGCGGCGCAGACACCCGAAATGTTTGAAGCGTCCGAGAATGTTCTCGGCGAGCTGCGAAGCCCTGAATTAAAACGATATATAAATAGGCGACGTTTCGGGAGTAGGCCCTTTTTGATGGCACGTGACGAAGGGTCATCTTGTACTGTCAAGAAAGGTCACTTCCCAAGCCGTCACATATATTTATTTAAATTAAGGCCAAGGTGTGTTGACATTATTGAGTGTTAATTGTGCCCGTGCACCGCGAGCAAACTCAGCAGCAGCATCGCCAAGTCGTGAGCGAGGCCCAGGGGGCTCGGCTGCCCTGCTGCCTTCTCTTCACTCTTTAGTTTGA